ACTCTGGGCCAACCCAGTTTACCAGAGTTTCATTGGTCACATATGGACACAGCTGTTCAAAGTGTACTATGCACTTTGGCATGCCCCTCGACTGCTGTAACTCATTTTAATGGACCAACTCATCAGAGCACAAAACAAGGTCCTTTCTAACTGGAGCCAGGATGTTTTGGTGTTGTTGGTACATACCAAAGCCACATCCTATATTGGTAAATTCATTCTTATTGTAACACCTCTTCTGTTCTGTCATATGGTGGCCTTTCCTAGATGTCGTTGCACAAACTCATGTTCATCAACAAACGCGGATCTTAACCATTCCACATATTCGTGTGGAGGTTGTGGGACATCCATTCTAGGTGGAGGACCATAAGTCACATATATAATATTTGTCTGAATATGAACAGATTCGTCTAACAGCCTTTCGATTTCTGTTAAGTTGTGATGTACACTGCCATGATGTAGGGTAAGCAACTGTTCCAGTCGGTTTGGTGAGTTAACAAGATTATCATGCATATGCTTAACAACCTGTATCACCCATTCCACTAAACCATCAGACTCAGTGTAATAAGGAGAAGAGCTCTTCTTAACCATTAAAAGTTGGCTGTTGAAGTTAGCTCTCTGGTCCATGTGAATCTCTTCAGGTGCTCCAAATCATGTTATCCAGTGCTCCACCAATGCCTCAGGGAAGCATGTGCAAAGTTTTTAATTGGATGTGCACCACTTCTATCTTTTGTGATGTTGTGTGAATGTTATTCAACTCAATTGGCCACCTAGTCCCATGAATAGATCAGTACATTCCATCAACAAGTAACTGAGTTGCTGCTCTTGGGTTGAGTTTAGATTGCTTGCACCATTCTCAGTTAGCGATCTCAGATGTGTAGGTATCCATGTACATATCAACTTTCAGGCATGGCAGAACAAATGCAATCCTAGTGTTAGTGCTAGCATTGGTTACTTCCGATTTGCTTACTGTGCCAATAACTATCCCAGCCTGCCACTGACTAACTGATCATCTATAATTACAGAATAGCACTGAAACTTCATCCGTCTTGGACAAATAACTGTCTGAGCTAATACTGCTTGCTTTCAGGTCAGAAAACAGCTACTTCATGCGTGAATTTATAGCCAGGTTATGATGCACCAATGCACTAGATATTGTCTGCATTAAACCATGGAACATCATTTGTTTACATGGGATATTGTGACTTCTCTCACATACACTTGTGTAGTCCACCGTTGCTAGGATCAATCAGGCCAGTACTGGGTAACTCTACTGCAAACAATCAATTTCCCAGTTGCGCGGAAAAAACTGGGTGATAAGCTCCATAATACATCCATTCTAAGGATGCTGATGCAAGAATGAAGTCGACAACAACTACCTTCATCTAGCAAAATTTCCTAGATATAGTAGAAGTGTGACCTCTCCATTCACATCTAGTCTGTCTCCATTCTCCTAATGAAGTTCGTGTTGACTGTCCTGGGTAGTGGTTTTGCTCAGAGCACCTTAAATACCAATGTTCTGGCCACCTCCCCATCAACCAAGGACTCTGTCACTCGTTTTCTTACGCTGAAAGTACATAACAAGACCCACTTAGTCGAAAGAAACTTGGCTGACCACCACAACTTTTGGTGCAGGTAGTTCATTACACTCTCTTAAGGTGAAGGTTAAGTCTAGCTTTGGCTCCTCTAACTTTCTTGAGATTTAGCAGCAGTATACAATGTTTACTATTGGCTCTCCTGTACTTGTTGCACTGTCAATAAAAACTGATATCCTTGTATACCTTTATGTTTGGTAATGTATGGGCAATTACTTGAAAGTGAACCAACACTCCACAGGTAAAGTATTTGATTTGCTCCTCCATCCCATGTTAACACCATGGCAAAGACATTGGTGGCATGGGTTATGGCACAAAAACCTCATGATCCATTGTGCCCATTACATGGTGAGCCTTACTATGCAATTGGCACAGATCATCCATCTAAGTTGTCAAGCTTTCCGTGCTACTCATGTTCTGAGCCTTCAAAGGATTGCTTTGTTTTTCACTTGGTCAGACTTCTGGTGCAACTCAACAATGAATGTCTTATAGAGTTCTTCATTCAAGTGCTTGGTGGAGTCTAGGGCTAGACCTTTTAAAGTCCAAACTAAGCATTATACAGCCTGTTCTAGAGCCAATCATTCAAGACAGTTACTCTGCATTTAGAAAACAGTCTAAATATTCCTTCCATGTTCTTTTAAATGTTAGCAGAGTGATATGTTTTAATTCACTCATAAAGATCAGTGGTCGGATATTATCCTTCCTGACCATTATCTGACCAAAATGTGCTAGGCATTGTGGGCACAGTATGGTAGAGAATCTTAGGGACCATGATAACCTGACATGTGGTAGGCACCTGCTTTAGGGTTGAAGAATGACAAGATGTGCTCGGCAGCTTGTACATCCGTTCTACTAAACCCCAAGCTCTTCCTTGATCCATGACTCTCAGAGTATAAATTCCAGTCCAGTGAAGCTCATCACTGTCCATGATCCACTCATTTTGCTATTCAATGTTAGCATATTACCTGCTAGTGTGATAGCTTCAGTTAGTTGGCATCTCAAGTTTCTCTGATGTTCTCAGGGAACTTCGAGCAGAGCTGGGGTTGTATTACTCTGGGTGGTGTAAGTCTGGGGGTTCCATAAAGACTGCCCAACAAAGTCTCATATTTACCTGATGTCAGGTAAAACTGAATTTACTTAAGAGCAATTGGATAGGTTCACAAAATAACAAGAGATTCGATAAAGATATTTATCATGAAGCAATGTTAAATCTCTTACAAGCTGATTCATAATGGTAAATGGAATAGTTTGACTGGACATAAAGTGAAATGCTGAATGACCAGTCATTATTACGGCACTAAACACAAACACATTGTGTATGTACTTGTTTTAGGGTATGTTGGACTGTCGCTTTTAATGGATTCTATCAACTGATTATCCTCCAAAATACTGTTCCAAACTGTTTAAATCCAACATCCCTTAATTCGCAAAAAAACGTCGCATATACAGAAAGCAACTATTCTCATTACAGTGTAGGTGAGACCATAATTTGTATATATCACCTGAATACAATTGAAGGACACTGCTGTCGGCATCCTTACACAACATGTCGTATTGAGCAATATTCTCCCCGAGCGCTGACAGATATTATGTACTGGAGAACAAAGCTAGCCTAAAAATAAATCAACTTAACAAATTTTTCATCAACGTGTTATGTGAAACCAAAAAATATGCAAAACAAAGAATAAATTCAGAATGAATAATATAATATTACAATGCGATAGAAATACATGGTATTTTCGTAACTGTATTTTATGAAAAAAAGAGATGAGTTAAAAAATGAAATACTAAAATGTTACTCATCTGTTGCAACATAATGCCACAAACAGAATTATTTGAGTGAAAGATCGAATCGGTATATCTCATTGGTTGTTTAACGAAATCCCTTAAAAATTTTAAATATACGCCATTACTTACGAACTCTTTTAATCACCTTAACATACTGAAAAGCTTGTGCGACAGTACATATATTATATTGACTAATATGGCTACATTAAGATTTATTTTATAGCGTTGGAAAGTAGAATTGCTCTTTCTGTTAACATTTTTACAGAGAAAAAGTTCCTTAGGTAAGGGATTGGAACATTGTTGCTATATTTATTTTATGGGTTTTAAAATTTGAATTTATTTCGTCCTACACCTTGTTGTGTTTGCTATTAATTTTACGGTTTATTGTGGCAGATCTCTAACTTGTGTATCTATATAAATATAATAGTGCTGTCTGTTGTTTGTTTTATGTCCATGTAACTACTTCGCAAGATGTGGATGGATCTTCACCAGAATTGGTATGGAGGCTCATTAGGTCCATGCGGGGGTATATATACATATTTTCGGTTTTGCATTATGCGCTTTGCAGTTTTTAATGGGCGTTTTTGTGTTTTTTTACCCCTACCTAACCTCCTGTGTATGAATCTTCACCAAATATGTCAAGAAGGTTTGTTGGATCCAAGGGGAGATACATGCAAGTTTGAGATTTCACATTTTGTGTTTTGCGGTTTTTATGTGCGTTTTTTTAAATTATTTATTGGGGATGCAAAATTTCGTGTCCTAAGATAACCTATCATGAATTTATATCACTTCCATCCGGGGGACAGATATTCCATCTAGTCTATATAAATATAATAGTACTCTCTGATGTATGTCCATGTAACTATTACGCAGAGTGTGGATGAATCTTCACCAAAATTGGTGTGGAGGTTCATTAGGTCCATCCAAAGTACACACTGTTGCGTATCTGCTTGTTTGATAATTTCCGGTAAACATTCTTGCCGAGTGACTTCAGCGATACAAGTTCCTTCTTGATTAAAACCAGTTTATTCTTTCTCGATACAAACTTTGTAATACACTTAACAACTTTTATAACACACGCTTTAAATCATAGTGATTCACACATTTTACTTATGGTGCCTACTGTTCGCTTGACTCAGTTATCTCTATCTTCAATCTATTTGCATATCTATCTCTTTGATCTATCTGCCTATCTCTTCAATCACGCTGGTTTTTCTCGCCAGGCTTATATATTAAAAAAGACAGCGTCTAGCAAACACTGGGACATTCGCGAAATTCCTCGATAAGTCATGATCCTTCTAGAAACTCCAGCGCGCCTGCTCTTAGCGTTGCGTGACTTCCACTGTCGTAACAATACAAATTTTCAGATTTGCATTTTGCGGTTTTATGGGTCGTTTTTTTTTTCGTTTTTTTACCATTACTTTGCTCCCTGTAGATATAACTTCACCAAATTTGGTATGGAGGTTATTGGGTCCTTGGCGAGATACATACAAATTTTCAGTTTTGCAATTTGTATTGGTATTTTTTACATTTACACATAAGGGAAGCAACTTTTCTTATCCTAAGATAACCTTTCATTAATCATGAATTTACATAACTTTCGTCCAGGGGACGGGTACTCCAGCTAGTAAGAACTCATGTACTGTATTTTGTGAAACTGTACAAGACTTAGTTTATGTAGTAAAGTTATTAGTACTTCTAGTTGCTTACTGATATTTTGTAATACTTAATGATAACTGAGATTATAGACAACTGAATCTTTTGACATATTTTCAAGGTGAAGGCAACATGAATTCGGCAGCTATTCCAGCCCTTGTTGAAGATTGCTATGGTGACGACAGATGGATGTGTATGGTGAGCTTAGGCTGCTTTGCTTTAGTTAGCGTTTGGAAGGCAGAGTTTTACGAGAGATAATCAGAAGGAACTTAAAATATATTTGTGCATAACAAGTTATTTAACACTGTTGCCAGTAAGTTCGTACTGCATATATTCTCGAAGTTGTGAATGTGTTACATTACCTATATTAGTATATTATAATAAAATAGGCCTAATTCTTAACAGTAACAATAAGAATTTTAATATCCAAGTTATCTAACTGGAACAGTGGAAGTTGGAACAAACTTAAAAATCAACCCGTTATTGTATAATTAATTAGTTAAGATTTTCTCACTTATGTTTTTATAAGGATTTTAATGCTTGTTTTATCAGCTGGATATTCTCGATATTAACAATATCTTTGGTCATAAACTCAATAATATTAATAATTTATGATGTTGAGCTAGCTCAGGAGATTCAAGTTAGCCTTAAATCAATATTTTTATATGTATATATATATATATATATATATATATATATATGACAAAATTATATATGAATTTATTACTAATTTAACATTATACCTCACCAACTATGATATTGTAATAGACTGAAACAAAATGCCACTACAAACAGAATCAAACAAACAATATATTGAAATATAACAGAAATCCAAAATAAAACTTTCAAAGAACAACACATTTTATCACACAAAAAAAAAACTGTAAGTAAACCCATACCTGGCTAGGGCTAGTTACAAATGGTACTAAACAATACAAAATAAGGCCAAGTATAAAAAAAACAAAAACGTGCTTGGCATCTGGAGTTTTGGAAAAAAGGAGGAGGTATTTTATTTTTAAATGACCTCTATTAAAGAAAGTGTGCACCCTTTTTTTTTCATTACTGTGCTTGTTTTCAAAGGGTCCGTGTCAAACAGAAGTCTTCTTTGTTTCATTTTTTCATCAAATGATACAGAATTTGTGACAAGTAAATAAAAAGGGCAAAATGAATCAACTTTGTTCATCTCATTTTTTATTCGGAAGTCTGTTTTTTTTGAATGATCGAAAAATGATAATTCAAAAAAGGAAGAAAATCACCAAAAGAAAATTACAGGATGCAGCTCCATTTTTTTGGAGGAAGTGGGCAGGGATGCTAAACATGCATTTTTTTGTACTTGGCCTAAATCTTAATGTTATTAAATTTGATGAATTAAGGAACTAGGAAGAAGAACCAAAAGAAGAAAAAACCTAATTCTGAAAAAATGCATTGTTCCAATGAACAATATCTCATGAACTAACTCATTTTCAAGATCAAGGAAGGCTTTTTATTTAGTGGTTAGACCACAAAGTTACATCTCATGTGACTAGCTATTGCTCTATATCTACATAATCTTTCTCAACATTAATATCTGTACATCACCACTAGAGGAAGCTTCTGTCCATTTCATAATACATACATACTCAAAATCAACATGCTCTAGCTAGAAGGTGAGTTAGCACTTTAATATAACTAAAAATTCATAGTTGAACAAACTGATAGAAGGAATAATAAATAAAGGGTAAATATAACCATAACAAAATAAAAGTAGAATTTACTAGCTCACAACATAAATTAGCCTGGTTGAAGTTCTGTTCTAATGATAGTTTTGCAGTACTTTTGCAAATGGTATGTAGAGATTTGTAGAAATCATTTGACATTTGGTGAAAAAAGTTATATCTATGAGTGTGAAGGATAAATTTGCTCTTTGGATTGAAAAATGGCTGGAGGGAAGAAAACAGAGGGTTGTTATAAATGGATTTAGTCAATATTGATTAATGTCACCAGTGGGGTACCTCAGGTCTCATCAGTGTTGAACCTTTTCTCATTTTTATTTACATCAATGACAAACAAAATAAACTGATTAACTTTGCTGATGGTATTAATGTTTTGATCTCATTTGAAGTATTGTATTTAGCCTTGGGCTTCTCATGTTAAGAAGGACATTGGATTATTGGAAAAAGTTCATTAACCTTCGAAATTTTGTCTTAAAATAGGACAGGACCTAATTGAGGTGTTTAAGACTATTAAGTGAATTTATATCAGTGATGCATCATATTTTTCGTATTTAATGGTAAGAATGGTAGGACAAGGGGTTTTACTTTTCTAAAAGAGTGGTTGGCCTTTGGTATTGACTGCTATCAGAGGTGGTGGATACAGTAAATTTTAGGGAGTTTAAGGAAGGACTTAGCGAATATTAAAATTATATAATACTATATATAATTTTATATGTATACTATATATAATTTTATATATATACTATATATATTATATGATACTAATGTTACTATTAACTTATAATTTAAAGAGAACTATGTCTAATGTCATAGATTACCATGGTGGGGTCCTGCTGATTGGATGCTTTATCCATGGTTAGCAGTTTAAAATTAAAAGTAGTGGAAGATAACCCAGGAAGCTTTGATGTAAATACGAATACATAGACTAACAGAACTTTTTTTAATTTCTAAACTCAGTTTTTCCAATTATATTAAATAAAGTTTGGATGTTTTTGTTTTAAATATTTAATTTGTCCTTAAGTTTAAACAAAGCAAGAAACTAATGTTAGATTCTAATATGTATATACACAATTTCAAGTATTCTGAAATAATGCATATTCTAAAGAGGCTTGAATTTTGAAATAACCATTTGGTCCATCAAGGCTGTACTTACACATCTACCCTTGAGAAAATTAGAATTTTAAGCTCAACTTCCTTAAATTCATTTTAAGTGCTAGTCTCCAGTTTACTACAGCTGATGAAAACTCATTGCATACATCAATTACTCTGTTAGAAAAATAAAACTGTCTTTACTGGAGCCAAGCTTGTCTTTTCCAAATGTTAATCTACTATCTTCTTTAACTGAATGGAAAATTAATGTTGGCTAAAGTTTTGTACAAAGAATATGTCTGTGATACTCCAAAGTCTATAGTTCAAGGGAAGAATAAAAATACCTTTGTCCATTGTACAGTTTGCAAATTGAATTTGTATGACTTCTAAATGGCTGGTTTCAGGTCTGCTAACTGAACTATCTCGGGAAGTGAATAGGAAGTAATAACAGGGATCTTATACATGGATCTGGGAGAAGGGTGCATTGATGTGGGTGGAGAAAATCACAAGATTTAACTTGCTTTGAATTATTGGAAATACATTTTTGGTAGAGAAAAATGTTAACTTTAAAGTATCTGGTATTTTCTCAACTCTAATATAAACTGTTGTGAAATCATCACTTTAGGGTAACATGAAAGTTGATAACTCTGATATATTTGTAATACCACGTTGAATGACACTTTGTACAAAGTTGGAGTATGCACACTTTTGACCCCCACCTGTGCACATAGAGTTAAAGGTAGGAGTGGTCTTAGCAACCCTCCAATGCTTAGACTTCTTTCCTATTTCTATTGACCTACAATATATGAAACATAAAATATAACACTCATACTTAATATCATCTATGGAAATGTTTAATTTTTTTCACCTGTTTCCTCAAAAATTGGTGTAACCTTTGTTAATCTTATCAGTCTAGGAGTAAAGGAAACACTTATCAGAAGCCTAATCTCCTTAAAAATGTTAAATATGAGAATCAAATTCCATATGCTTTTTTCTTCAGAAGAAACACCTGCTTGAAATCTCCCTCATGTCTTAATTTTTTAACAGAGTATTTTAGTAGTTTTTTTTAACATTTAATTTACTAGACTGCTTGCAGAAGGTTATTTTGATTTTATGTGAAATCATTAACAAAACTAACCAAATATCTTAAGAAAGAACTAAAGTTAGAAATTTTCTTAGAGGATGTAAGAATGATAACTCGCAAAAGTAGCTATAATTTTTGAAGTAGCTAAATATCATACATAACTCTCCTGCTACAGGCTTGGTCAAATTGACCAAGCTCTTGACTCCAGATTGACTTGGATAGTTTCCATACTTTAATTCTAATATGTTTTATGTGTCTTCACAAAAATTTGCAAGCTTTCAGAGTCACTTGTAGACAGAAACATAATTTTTAATGTAGTATTTTCACTAATAAGAAGGATATATGGAGTCAAAGTGCTGACTACTTCAAGTGAAAAGTGATTTTCATATTAAGATTAAAAATATTTTTCATCTGGAAAACCTTGAATTTCATTTGAGAAGTCTCTAAAACCTCCTAAATAAATTTGAAATGTTTTTTAGTAAAACATTTTATCTGGTATTTTCTCTACCCTAACTCTGTATGAGGTTGGTCAATTTAACCAATCTCATAACCACCATTAAGTTTTGAATCTAACTCACTAAAACCTCATGATGTGCAGAAAAAGATGACCCCTAGCAAAAGAGATAATTGAGCTGATAGCTCCAGTTTCTTATGATTTTAATGTACAAAGTTACTGTAAATGCTAAGACTATATATATTTATATATGTATGCCATTGGCTTTCCACAGAAATGTTGAAAGCAAAAGGTTATTATTGATTCCAATCAAACTAGACCCTTGTTCCTAACTTACGACCAGAAAGGGGCCATTTGTTCTTTCAAAGCTGTCCTCATCACTCTTGGGAAAAGTAAATATTTAAACCTATCCTTACATGAACTTATCAATTCCTCTCTTAAATTCCTGTAAAGTACTAGCTTCCACTACTATTAATGGCAACACATTCCATAAGTTAATCACCCTGTTAATAAAATAAATTGTCTTAACTGGAGCCTGGTGTGCCTTTTCCAAGTCTTAAACTTAAATCCTCTTATCCAATTATCTTGAGAATATAGCACAAAGAAACTAGAGGCCTTTATCCTATTGACCTCCTGGATAATCTTATAAACTGCAATAAAAGCACCTCTTCTTTTCTTGACCCCCAGTGGCTCAGCTTTAAGTCTGAAGGCTTATAATGCTAAAAACTGGATTTTGATAGTCATGGTGGGCACAGCTTTGTGCTTAACAAGAAACAACAATCTCTTCTTTTCTCAAGAGAAAATAATAAAGACATTTTAAACTTTCCCTGTGAGATAACCCTTCCATCTCTGGAAACATTCTAGTTGCACTTCTCTGAACCATTTCCAGTAAGTCAATATCCTTTTGTAGATGAGGAGACCTAAACTGTACATAGTATTCCAAAAGAGGCCTAAACAGTGATTATTATATAGGTGATTATCTCCTTTAACTTGTAATCAATATATCTATAAATACATCTTAAAATTCTATTAGCTTTGCTTTTAGCAGCAGAGCACTGTTTTGCTGACTTGAGTAACTTATTCGTTTCTTTAGTCTCAGTGTTGAGTTGATTCAGATATACAAGTATGATAACCATAATGCATTACCTTGAATTTACTGGGTGTAAAAGTCATTGGTCTACTATTTGTCCAATTTACTAATTTGGTAATTATGTCCTATCTATATCATTAATAGAAATTAGAAAAAGCAAGTACTCAAACATTAATCCTTGAGGTACTCTGCTAGTAACAAGGGTCCAGTTTGCTTGGACTCCATTAACTCTCGCACTATGGGCTCGGGCCCCAGGAATGACCTCATAACCATTTTGTGCTTGTTATAGTTTTCACACTATAACTTTTAATATAACATGTATACCATCATGAATTTGCAGATTATTGGTAAACATAACAAGGATTTTGTTTACAAAATATCAGATTTTTATTACATTTTAAGATTTTTTTAAGTAATGATTTACTCGTGCATTCTTTCATTTTGAATGTTGACTGTCCGAAGTAATTGTCAGATTTCATATGCAAAATCTTTATAACCAATTTATCTCCTAATAACCTCAAGATAATTTTCAAATGTTTTTGTTTATAATCACTTTATATTTTATCTGTTATTTTCATTATTGTATCTCTGTTTGGTTGATTTGACCGACCTCGTAACCACCATAAAAAATTAGGAAATAGATATAAATTACACTTTTTTGTTCTAGAATGACTACAAATTATAACAAGAAACCACAAGTGTTTAGTCTAAATAGCTTAAATCTCATAAAATTATACATCTATATATATTTATTGCTGTTATTTCATTAACCTTTCAGCCATGTCTGACTAACATTACAGAAGCTGCAATGATGCAGCATACATTCACTCATGTTACTGTATCCAGTAATATAAAACTGGCCTTTAAAAAGTGATCTGTCTTGTCTTTTTACTAGTGGACCAGTATTTTGTAAAATATTATTACTATTTACAAATTAGTTCTTAAATATGAGTTATTTTTCTTAAAATATAGAACAGTAAATAAAAAAATATATAGAAAAACAATGATCTCTTCTACTTACTAACTTTGTACTTGTTTTCCACTTGCCATTATTTGCTAAGCCTTATCAAATTTTGCACGTGGAGGATGTAAAACAAAATTATTTTTTAGGTTTTATATATATCATTTTGAAATAACAAAAAATCATAACTCACTATATTAATATCACAGAAATCCACTATTATATAGTAGTTCAATAAAATTTTGAATGTAAGTCTGCAAATATGATGACATGCTCTTTGACCCCTGACCATAGGAAGACCCATAGTGAAAGGGTGAATAACAACCTTTTGCTTTTTCCCATACAAACCAATTGATTAATCTTTCCTCAACTTGTACTGATGTGATTTTCTTAGCTACAACACACCAAGTCTACACACTTCTTCATCCAGATAACAAGTAATGTTCTCAAAAAACCTAACAGATTAGTAAAGCAAGATTTCTCTTTTGTGAATCCATGTTGGTTTTCTTTTATTATATGTTTTACTAAATTATTTAGTAAAACTTCTTATATCAGACTTTAGAATTTTTCCCATTACAGAAGTAAAACTAACTGTCCTATAATTTTCATGGTAACCCTTTAATCTTCAAGCACTTGGCTACTCTACTGACCTACTAAAAGTGAGAGAGAGAGGCCTGTGTACTTGAGATGGTCCCTTGTTGTCCACAGAATATGTTCATTTGTTTTGGGGTTTGTGTATTCAACATTTAAGTGAAATCATATTTCTTAGCTCTAGCTTATTTAAAGTACTGTTTGCTTTGCCACACATTTGATTGCTAAATTTTCTTGCAGTGCATTTTCTTGGCTTATTTTTAATGTCTGATATAAAATAACAGGAATGGGGATTAAAGAGTTTAAGAATTAAGAAGCTAGTCTTTAATTAAAAGGGTATGTTAGGAAGTGATGGATATAATTTTCTTGTGAAGGCTAGAATCAAAATCAAACTTTTATCTCAGAATCCAACATCCTCTTTTAGCTAGAAAACTCAGTATCACCTTAATAATCCAATTAAATAATTATATGCAAGTATGCTGCAGTAACTTGCAGTTTTATATAAGAACTAATAAATTACCCATATTATTACATCATACAGTTTGCAATATCTTTACTTACTAGTGAACAATAGCTTGAAGTGGCTTATCAGATTTAATAGTTTGAGTCTGATGTACATCTACTGGAACTTGTGTTGAAACCAGTAAGAGAAGTTTATCTGTTTTCGGTGGTGTATCCTTACAATTTTGCACTGTTACTGTTAATTTTGAAAATAATAAAGACACCTCTATTCATTGTTTCAATAAACAGCTATTTTTGACTGTGACTGTGGCAATATTAAACCACGATTAGTTCTTCAAAATATTTTTTTATTGACATTTAGACTCACAGTTGTAACAAAATATTATTTTATACTTGTTACTGCACTTTCTGAGGTATGGCATTTGTAATAACTTACAATCAACTTGGCTTTGTGATAGAAATGTATGTGATAGAAAATTTGTAATGCTATCACATTATATTTTTGAGTTGAATCATCAACTCTCAAGAATAGTTGAATGCCCTCAAAACCTATGACTCTTAGAATACAGTTGTAGTAAAATAGTAGTTTTAACAGTACATAGTACTTAGATTATTTTAAGTAAGATGCATGTTGAGATATATGCAAATACATATTAAATTATTTTAGACATGGTAAAAATAATTTACATACACACACATATATATATATATATTTTTCTTTATCTGAAAACTTTTGTGTTTGTAGCACAAAAGATTTCTAATAGAAGCAAAGGAGCGAGAGCCAGAAGTTGTACTGATAGGAGATTTTACAGTTGCTATGTTGAGTCACACTGAGGTTTGTTTTATTTATTTGCATCTCTTATAGGTCTTAGTGAATCTTTTTTTTTTTTTTATAAAGTGTTTAAAATTATGTACCTGATGATGACAAAAGCTCATTGAAACATTGTACATTTGTAATAAAGTTTCTTTCACAACCCATTCAAGCCATCTCCAGACTGTATTCTCTAAAAAGAGGGTTCCTGGTCATCAAATTGAGATTCATACCATACAATTCATGTATTTTTTAACTTACAGTTTAATCTGCAAAATTAGAAAATCTTAGTTTTTTAATCATGTTTTTATATGAATTCATTTTATATATTGATTTGTAATGTGTGTGTATGAAAGATTATATTTCAATTGCAGGTTTGGGAGAAATATTTTGTTTCTATGCATTGCTTAAATTTTGGCATATCAGAAGATAAAACACAGAATGTTTTATGGCGAATAGAGAATGGAGAAGTTGAATTTATGAATCCAAAGGTAATTTATTGAAGGTTTTATGTAGTTATTCTTAGAATTATATAAAACTACCCAAGAACACAAAACTAATATGCCTACAAGTTCTACTACAAAATGTTTGAGATACATGTTTTGTTTAAACTTCATAAATACAAAATGAAACCAAAAGGAGCTTAAAAACAAACCTTGCTTGGCTAATCTCTGACTTAAGTTTATGTATAAACAAGCTCTCTTTTTCTATGGAGGCTTCGTTCATCATTAGCCCTTGTTAAAAATCTTAAAACAATTTGAGTGTACCGCTACATCATACTCATTTGTTCAATTGTACTTGATCCGTTTACAGACCTTAATTTTGCATGTTCCTTCATGTGAGTTCACAGATTTCTTTTTCTTTCAGTAGAACCGACAGCAAGGGCAGATAAATTTATTAACAGTATTTGGTGATTTCAGTGTGGGAATACAGTCCTTAAATCTTATGAAATTCTATAAGGAACAATTAGATTAAAAACATATCTCAACTGAATTTGAAGATATATCCTACAAAGAATAGTAAATAACTGATTTTTTATACTCAGACAATATTTACCAATTATATTACAAAGTTATAACTAACAGGTATTTATTTAGTAATTTCTTATGCAGATTATTTGTTAAAACTGCTTGTTGAAATAGTTATGAAGTATTCAATGAATGACGTATAGCAAAATCATTTTTCCACAAGAAGTTTGACATTATTAAATTCTTTATGCAAGAATTTATAAGTACTATTTGAAATTTTTAGGAGTGATGAAATATAACCTTAAACAAATTTTCTTGATTTCACAGTTGTTATAAAGCTTGCAAAGTTAAAATACAAAAATTATAGTTTATGATCTTCTTGATGTTCAACGTTGAATTTTATATTGCTGTGTTTGCTGTTCAAGTACTTCAAAAACTGAGAAACATGATCAGTTTCTAAAGATGGTACTATAGCTGTTTAAAAGACTGTGTACAATCTTTCAACCATTTCATTTCATTATAACAAAGAAAAAGGTTGCAAGAGTAGCAGGTTCATTGATAATCTGATGATAAAGATCATCAAGCATAAAATGTTATTCCCTAGTTGCAAGATACATAAATCTCAAAACACAGATTTAAAAATCTCAAATTATTAACAATCAAATCAACATTTTATTGCATAGTTTCTTCTAAATGTATATTTGTATATAAATACTAACATCAAAGACTAGTGCAGTAAATATTGCTATCAAACTTCCATTGCTGTACTTCATCAGAAAATTCAAATCTGTCTTTGAAAGTATATTCAGTAGTAGTAAAAGTCTTCAGAAGAGCAACAAAAATCAACTATAGCATGATTATAAGTTCCAGTATTTGAACCTTATAGGTAATAACAGATGTCCTTCTTTATGAATTTTAGGAAGACCATTAAAAATTACAGGATGATTACTCAATGATCTTTTTTAAAAATTGTTTCTCATTTAACTAGTATTTAATAACAGAATTGAAAAAATTAAGAAGAAAGACTCATTATATGTAAATGACATTGGGAAATTTTCTGATTTACCTGTTTGTTTAAATTAAGTAAATTTTTGTTTTCAAACTTACATTAGACTTTTACGAGCATCATACATGCCTGCCAGTTGAGGCTTTGTAATTTTTTATGAATCACTTGTAATATTATGGAGCTTTTTCTTTTCTTTTTTGCAGGTGATCATACTGTCTGTTGGGGCTAATAATTATGAAAACACAGCAAAAGAGGTGGTTGAAGGAATACATGCTTGTTTAACAGCTATTAGGAGCTACCATCCCAAAGCGCAAATTGTTGTATTAGTAAGTAGTTTTGTTATTGTTATTACATACATAATATAAGCCTCTTACAGAAGAGTCAAGAAACTTGCACTCTACTTCTTAAATAAGGATAGGAAATACTGAAAATCTAATGAAGAAATTTTATGTACCTGTAAAAAAATAAAAAATAAACTTATATAGGTCTAATTAATGCTCTTATTTTCTTTATATCCCAAAATACTGCAAAGTCGAGACTTAGCGTATGTGAAAAAATTAACCAATAAGGGTTATTTTCCATGTATGTGCTATGGATATCTCATAGGGCAAACTGTGTATGTCACAACTTTTTACACTTGCATTTAAAACTTAATTGAACAACTTTTTTATCAGTGTATGTCAATAAGCTGGACATAAAAATGTTTATAATTCAATTCTTATATTATTTAAGTTATAGTTTTTTAATTTCAAAAGGATATATTTAAATAAATTCTCAGTCTTCTCCTCTCTGTGTCACATGACATGTCTGTGTTTCCAAATTGCCTATATTAGATTTTCTATCTATTCTTATGTGATTTTCTGAGTGTCCAAATGTTTAAAAAAAATATTGTAGATACTGACAAGCAAGAGTATCACTAAGCACGGTAGTGCTTAATGTGTAGGGATGGGCCAAGCAAAAAAAATGTCTGCTGCATTCAGTTTAATCCTCTATGATGCATACAAATAACTGCTAAAGCTGACTTATTACCTTATTTGAGCACCTAATTGCCATTATCAAGTTTTTCACAGCTTCTATAACAGTAATATTATTCTGTTCTTCATTTTTGGGGAAGGGGGAAATACTATTACTAAAACTACTACTTGGCAATGAGTTCAGTTTATATGCATGTATTTTTTCCATGTTTCATGTCTGGCTGGTAGATGGCAGCACAAACTTTTTATATAATTACCATTTGTGGCATTTCATTGCACAAACATGATATCTCTCAAAACAATTTCAATAGATAAATAAATAATAATCTAAATTAATATTCAAGGTATCAAGTATTTATGTAACTGACAAATCTGTGTACATGTTATCGATTTCTGAGTTTAAAAACACCAGTTTCTTAATTGTCAAAACCATACACTATGTAGCTGTCTACTTTTCTTCAAATTATCAGTGGGGCTGAGCCTTGCAGCTGTGTGTGTGTGTATGCATAGTATCTTACTTCATGGCCTGGCATCTATATGATGTCCTTCATATTAACCCTTTCACAATGGGTTTGTGTAATATGTGGAAAATGTATCATGAATTTCACTTGTGCAACGATACATATGGTAACTTTGAGATTTCTTAACATATCTTTTCAAAGATTGATAAGCTTTTGTTAAAGATCATAAGTATCTTGTACACAGAGAATGACATTACTTTCATTAAGTATTTTTACTAAAAATATGTCATTTATTTTATTGTAGTCACTTTCACTCAAACTGTTAACAAATTGAGTGCAGAGTGATTTTTCATTTTAAGTATAAAAATACTTTTCTTCATCTTATGGTTTTCATATTTCATTTGTATAATCTCTAGAACCTCCTAAATGAATATCAAAAGTTTTTTTTAAGGTAAATGTTAATATTTTATTTAATATTTTTTCTACCATAATTCTAGCTGTTATCATCAACATACAAATGCAATGAAATGATTAAAATTAGGAAATAGAAAACAAAATACATACATTTGAATTTGTTATAGAATATCTTTAAAGATCTTCTTTTTGTTAAACTTGTAATTTCAGCTCTTTTCCCATATAGTCAATTTTTAATGTTTTATTCTAAATGCACAAAATCATGCCCATTCTGAAAGAGTTATAACCAATAGAAAGAATAGCTTTTTTTTTGCTTTTCAAAGATTCCATGATTAGTTATTTTATTTTGTGCACATAAGTAGATATTTAGCCTCAGTTTCTTTGTGTGTGATTTTTTCCTGCTTCTAGAAGTTAATGGCATTTTTTTTACCCTATTTGTAACTTAGTTAGAAAGCCAATATTATACTAGTTTTGGGACATTCTATTCTGATGCCTGATATATTTTTTGTGTTCTAAAATGCACAAATGAAAGTAACATCAATGATCTTATGGATAACCAACATAGTATGAATAAAATAATGCTAAGGAGGTACGCTCTTGAGTACAAATTACTGAAATAGGCTTCAACTCTAATGCAAGTCTAAAACATCTTGTTTTTTATGTGATTTTTTTATTATTCTCTATTTTTTAACAAAAGTAAATAAAATGTAAAAATGAGAAATTTGTTAGGTTAGATGACAATTGTAAATGAAAATATAATATATTTCATTAGAACAGCTCAAGCTAAATGCATCATGTGATTGTAACTTGATCAGTTGTTTACATTAAGTTCTCATGCTATGAGTAATTGCCCGTCACATTCTTAGAGTGGGTCTAAAGAGTAGTGTAAAGTAATAAAATGAAAAGCGAGCAGATGTAAAAAGTTTAGAAAAGTGAGGCTGGTAGAACAAAATATTTCAGAAACAGTACTACATGTGTTCACCCAAAGCTATCTCCACCTTGATTTGTCCTCTAAGCATTGCTAAAATTCTGAACAGTGCACCAGTCTATTATACCCCTTCATTTTTGCATCATTGCAGCATCATGTGCTGATAATGCGACTATCCTTCATCAATCATACTGTGCCACCTATATTAGCACAGGTAGCTTCTTCTACCATTGCAGCACAATCCTCACTTTTTCGATTGGCATTCTGATGTATAAACGTGTATATTAACTCATACTTCATGTGACTACAAAATTTTGATTGTACTTGATCACAAATTTATATCGGTTTCAACTTCAAGTTTAGACTTCATGTGTTTCATTTCCATTGTTTCTACATATTTGTTTTTGAAATGTTTCTGTTTTCAGAATTATACTTTGTTCATATGAATTTGTGATTTAATATGGCGGGTGATAAAATTCCCACTATAAGTATACAATGGTTCTGACACTAATCCCCAGGTCTCAGGATCGATAATGTCTGCTGTGGAAGTACAGACTACAGTTCACGGGGAGTTTGTGTCTTACGTTCAGCCAGCGATTTTTTTTTCATGTTATGATTTTTGTGCAGAGGGATAGAACTACTGTGTGAAAAGTCTATTTCTATGGCACTTTCCACCTGATACCATGCCCCTTCTTAATCTGCTGGGTTAGGTATTGTTTTTTTCCCCTGGAGATTTGTGGTAAGTTTTCTCAATGTGTATTCCTCACTCCCATAGGTATAACCATGTTCAGTGAGCTGGTGTGGATGGTTCTAATTTCAGCACTTGATAATTTAGGTCTTTCATGTCTTCTCTGCTCAGTGTTGGGTAAGTTAGATTTTTATACTTCTTTTACCATCTAGGCTTCTTTAGTTTAAACTTGAATTTGGAGTTTGCTTATTCCTTTATTTTTGTTTCAGTTCTTACTTTCTTTCACTGTTAATGGTAATTAGTTTATGAGTACTTTTTTTCTTTACTGCTTGTCACATGTAATTGGGGATTGGTTTTGAGTCAAACTTTGTTATTGTTAGCTGAGTGCCTTTTTTTCTTAGTTCAAGATAGGTTTTATTTTCATGTCCTTTGTCTTGTAGATTCTTTGAGTGGACTTGTAAGTTTGATATTTAAGGATCATTTATCTTCTTAATTCCTTTAGTGGTTTTGTACTTTAGGTGTTACTTATTGTTTTAGGTTGAATTTCATAGTTTTCCAGGTTTGTTATTTTTATGTACTTTGTAGACTCTACACCTTTCTAAATTTTGTTCATTCGTTAGTAATGAGTACTTTCTCTAAGTTGCGTAGTTTATGTGTCTTCTTGGCTGTACTTCATAACAGTTCCATAGTTTTTATAGGTTCTATCTGAGAGTTTCTGCCTTCAGTTTTGCTCCCCCATTGTCTACTTCCCAGATCTCCTTCCCTCTTCTTCGGGATCGTACTCTTTCCAGTTGTCTTGCTGAGTCTCTACTACACAAAGGAAGTATTGAACAGGTGGTGCCCACTCAACTGGGATTTCACTCCCGTCTCTGTTTTGTCTCCTAAAACACGGAAGTTTGGAGTCCTGGCTCTTTTCTTATCTGGAAACATCTTGCTTCACGATGGAGTCCTATCTCTCACTTCTGTGGGTCTTTTGTCCTTCTGTCACGTCATTTTTCTTTGGTTCATCTACATAGGTTCTGGTTGCTTCTGTTCTGTCTTTCTTCAATTCCATATGTTTTGTATGTTCTTTTGCACATCATCTTCACTTGCTGGATCTTTGGACTCACCATTATATGGATAACTGGCTTCTGCTTGCCTCTTCCTGTGCCCAGCCAGTCACTCACACCTGCTCACTTCTTCAAGAACTGCTCAGGTTGCTCATCAATTTGGAGAAGTCCTTTACTACCCCCTCGCAGTATCTTATTTATTTGGGTGTTCTCTTCACTTCCCATCTTGGTGGAGCCCATCCTTCTTCACTTTGGCTCCAGGATATGGAGTGGGCATTCACAATAGCCCTACCTTCTTTCTCTCTCTCTCTCTGCACGAGAGGTTCTATCTCTTTTGGGGATGTGAGCTTCCTTGAAAGCTCTCATTCACTTGGGTTGGGTGCACATGCATTCCCTTCGATGGATGCTTCTCGACCAGTGGAACTTCCCCCACGATCCTTGGACATCCCATCTCCTGTCTACCTGGGATCAGGACTGACCTTGCTTGATGTTTTTTTTTTGTTTTTTTCCCATAGATTTTGGGTCAGTAAGTCAGTTGAGGAGGCTACTTTCCATGTCCACATTCTGGAACTTTTGGCAGTTCATCAGGCTATGTATCATTTCCTCCCTGTGGGAGGGTGGTTATGGTTCATTCTGACAATTCCACTGTCTTCATCTATATCACCAAGCAAGTGAGAACCAAGTCCAAATCTCTTTCTTTTCAGACTCTTGATTTCCTGTACCAGGCCAATGACTATGGCATGAAGGTTCTGGTGTGTCATGTTCCCGGAGATATGAATCTTGTGGCCAATCTCTTATGTCCCAACCAGAGT